ATTGTTTCTGGCAGAATTTGCAGTACTTGCCTCAGCTTCACGAAGCTCAGCCTTCCAAAGCCACAAACAACAACAAGAACAAAATCAAAGAGCAGAATTGTCTTTGGAGCAGCATTTATTAGTTTGACATTTAAAAAAAATGCTGCTATTGTTCTTGAGTCAACTAAAGACAGAAGGAATCACTGAATGTAGATTGCAGAAAAGTGGAGGCAAACTATAGAATCTTTTTAATCCTTAGAAATACTTACAAAGTTCTTTCTAGCTAGAGCTGGACAGCAGAAGTAGGCATGGAACTCTTCTTCTAAATAGGATCTAGTCAATGGGTCGAAAATGCCACTTTAGCCTGCACTTGAGAGCTCTAGCGGACTTCTGACTGTAGTAAGTACTTCAGGGTAAGTCCCCATAATGGGCACATACATAACATGTCCAGTCTCAGTTAGTGATTGCTTTATATTGATCTAACTATGAATCAATGTAATTTAATAAGACATGAGCAGAATGGAAGGGATTGGGGAGCATAATAAAATACACACAATTTCTAGAAATCTCCAAGTGACAACAGATAACAGTGGTAGCTGTCCATCCCTCTTTAGGCAACTGTTGGAAGTCCATGGAAACAAGCCCTCTCCGTTCTACACGCCTCATTGCTCACCTGGTTTGTGTAAAATGGCTGAGAAGTTCCCACAGTGTCTGGCCAGAGTGAAAGGTGTCCTGTAACCGGGAACCACTGTCCAACTGTAATGCAATCTGAACCTAAAGGGGAAAATCCACTGAATTAGATGAAGGACTGGGAGGAAATTCATTTCTTCACAATCTGTATTTCATCTCTAGGATCTCCTATCCAAGGTTGAACCAAACACTTTACAAACATTAAGAAATGTAGCATTACAAACCTCAGGAGATACATACTGACATTTCCAATTTACAGTTAGAGAGGAAAAGGGAGGGGGAGGCAAGATTACTTGCTCAAGGTTGTTCAGAGTATGTCAGTGACAGAGCTGTGACTAGAACTTTGGAGTCCTGATTTCCAGTCCTGTGGTTGTTTTATGTTCCTGACTGGCAGCCATGAGGATAAGGTCATTCTGAACTTCAAAGCCTGAAGCCAAAGAAGTGACTTGAGAATATAGTGATACCATCTCAAAGTCTCTTCTTGGTTCCAGGTTCTCTCCCCAGAAAGAAGGCAATAGCAGCTAGTTTGTAGCTCCTGCTCCGTTTGTAATAGTGGGGGCGGGGCAGGGTGCCTAAAACAACAACTATCCCTATGAGTTATGAATGACTAATTCTGTGAAGGGGTGGTCACAAGGATGGAATCTCTTGATATTTGCTACGCTCCCACAAGAGCGGCAGGAAGCAGTCTGAAGCTGCATGAAGGAAAGGCAGACTGAAGGGTTCTTTTAAAGTGCATTTTAGAAACCAATGAATGAACAGAAATGTTTAACTTTTTTTAAATCCCGGGTAAACATCTTTTATTGGGGATTGTTGGGACTTAAACCTTTCCTGGCATTGCTGGAAACCTAATAAACCAAATGATTTTGGTTAAAAAAAATCCACGGAGTGAAACTAACCATTCTGCTTTCAGTCCCTCAGCCAAGAGAGCAGCTAGGACGGACTCCTCCCATGTGCAAGTCTCAGGTGACACTACCACTGACATGACCTGTACAGCGTCCTCAGGCTGCACAGACATATCTGAAAGCACCGTGCAGCTTCTGTTCAGGGGCACTCAAGCTCAGTTTCTTCTCACGTATGCATGGGCAGACACACAAAGTGAGGTATGGCCCAAACCCTCCTTTCCTGCAGTGAAGCCTTAAGAGGAGATTATTTGCAAGGGAACGCTCCTAGAAAATCCCATATCTTCCCACTGAGGAGCACAGTGTGCTTTCCTGGAAAAGCTGCCCCCAAACCTGGCTGATTTTAGAGCCCTTCATACAAAGGATCTGCTCTCCTGCAGCAAATCCAGCTCCCAGCAGCCCTCCAGGTTCCAGCCAATAGACATCTAATAGAGCCATGCTGGGAACAATTCCTTCTAGCCATGGCTTCTCCTGTCCCTTGGGTTGCATTAAATCTTTGTTTTGTTTATAACCTCTGAGGTTCCCCCATGTCCCCTTAACCGTGCACTGTGCAAATGGGGGACTGCACAGGATCCAAGGAGAAGAAAGTATCACAGAGGCCCCCAAACCCCAATAATACAGGGGACTGAGATTATCTGTGGAGGACCTTCAACAAGCAGATCTTAAGGAGATGATCTGGGCTAATGTCTCTGAGCCAGACCAAACAAAGATTTCCATGGCCAAAGACAGCATTCCTAATGCCGGGGCCAGTGGGGAAGAGCCTGGGCCAGAGGAGCACACCTCTCCCTGGTCACCGTGCCCAACCCAGCGTGGCTGCTGCTGGAGAAGAGGCACCCCTTCCCTGGCCCCCCACTCAGGCTATACCAGACCTGCTCAGTGGGAGGACAGGCACCCCTCTCCCAGCTGTGCCCAATGGAGCTGCAATGTCCATGAAAAGGCACTTCTCAGATGGCCCCAAACTGCTGAAGTGAGGTGGGCTGTGGGTAGTTCTCTCCCCAGAGCTGCTCCAGCCCCTACTGGGTAACCATTTACGTGCCAACTTGATCCCAGGAGATTTACGCTGTATAGTCATCAGCCCCAAACCCATCTGGCACCAAGGACACAAGTCAAAGGCAGCCAGCTCTATTCATTCACAAGATCAGAAGGCAGATCCATTATCAGAACAAATAACTGGGCTCATATGGTCTCCTCAGTGAGGGTCGTAGCGAGTTCAAATCACCCTTCTGGTGCAGGCACAGACTGAGCATCAATATGGGAAATGAGTTTCCATCGAGCACAAACAGCAACTGAGCCCATCCCCCTGTGGGCCCATGGAGGTACAACACATCACTTAATCCACTCTTCTTCAAATCCTTGAAGGCCTCACCAGCCATGACCCAAGTGAAAGGAAATCCTGAGTCCAGAGGAAAGACTGTGCACATGACAAGCTTCTACCTAAAGCTTCCCAAGTAGCTGACTACGCTACAAATTACGGGTGTTTGGGTCAAACCCTCAGAAATTGCTCTGGGCACAGCAATAAGGCTTTTAGCACCTGCAGGCAACTCCAGAAAGAAAGCAGCAGAGGCAATTGTGGCTGCACAGCCCTTTTATAATCCCTGATCTGAACATTCAGTGCCATGAGGAGTGACCAAGCAGCCCCAACACCTATTGCTTTATAAAACTTCTCTCACCTATGTGAACATTTCCAACCAATATGACTACACAAAGGCTAACTTGAACCTCCTGATAATTCCAAGAGGAACAGGAAAAAAAATTTCCATTGCAAGATAGCCCAAGATATTTCCACTTTTAACTCTTCTTCCTACTGCACTCTGTGCACTAGATTTGCCCCCCAAACCCTGACCCCTTTATAGCAGTGTTCTATGGATTCACTCCTGCTGAGTTAAAGTACCTTATGATCACTGGTGCCAAACTTCCCTTTTGTTCTCAAGCAGCTCCTCCCTATCAGTAGGCAGCAGACAGACAGGAGGAGGGGTGAATTGCCTCTGCTTCTAGTCGCCATTTTTGGACTGGCAAGCGTCCTTCTAACGTAGGTAGCTCATTGATGATGGCTCTCTGAGCCGAGAGGCTCCCCCACAGAGCAGTATCCCACAATTTCTAGTGTTCACCAGCCCCAGAAAACCATCATTACCAATGGATGCAGAGAAGGTGAGCAAGTTCAAAAGGACATGAGCACAGAACATCAACAAATGCTTTCTTCCCGTCTAACTAGGTTTTTATGCTGGACTTTCCATCATAGTGCCCGACTGGCTTGAGAGAAACAGAGGCAAGAGTCAAACCTAATATTTTAACATTTTCCTTTTCAAAGGATTTTTAAAGACAACCCTACAAAGTAGAGCAAGCTACAGTGAGTTCCTTTGTGAAGGGTGTTTGCTATCTACCTCAGACCCTGCTCTTGTAGTATGGTTAACAGACAGAAACCTTCCTGCACAGAAGAAACAGTGAGCTTTATCTGCCACTACAAGGAAGCCAAGTAGTTCTTCCCATCACTAACAGTCTCTTGTTTTCTTCTTTGCCAGAGACCAGCCTTTTATCCTCAGCTACAGATGTGTGCTGACAGCTGACATCACCATGCTACAAGAATCCTGCCCAGAAATTCAAACTGGCAATTACATCAGATTTTGGCAACAGTTCAAAGCCAAAAATGTCACGAAAGTCATATTCAGACAATTAAAAAGTCTTTTAAAAATCCCAGGCTGCATATAAAATATTACAGAGAACAGTGCCAATTAGTTGCTAAGTTTACAAATGTGCATAAAAGATGGATGTTTGTATCACAAGGTTAGCTCTTTGTAATAGCGCCTTCCTCCCAATTCACATCACAAAGGAATCTGGTGGGCATTGCTCTGCGAATGTGTTCTAGAGGGGCCTTACAAACAAATGCTGATGATAAATCCCATGCCAATTACATTTCTACTTCCCAGGCATCCAATTTGCTGAACAAATCAGTGATTTATCAAAGCCAGGATCCAGCCTCTGGAGGTGACTACTCTGCTGCCAAATGTGTCAGAGGAAACCACATCTCTTCCCATTCACAAACCTCCACAATGGCCCCGTCATCCTACCACAGCAGGCTGAGTGAGAATTCATCCCTAAGCCTCTCGAAATCAGCACACACCAGTAAGCACAAGGCTGGATCGCCTTGACTGCAACAATTACTACTGTTGATTCTGCTCAGGAAGGTATCCAGAGATTTGAGAACCCAAATACAGTACGACATTGCCAGGGATTTCTTCTGGTGAACTACATACTGGACAATATATTTTCTCATACTGGTCTTATACCTTGTTGTTCTTAAGTTATGGGACAGCAACTCAGTTTACATTCCACCCTTCAAGATCTTAAAAACAAGAGTGTTTAGAATAATAACAGTTGATTTTCAATTTCTTCTCTGTACAGTGCCTCGCCCCAGAAAGCCCTCCAGACTGTACTGTAATATAAATAAATATCTTAAATCTGCAGCAGCTCTTTCCCCACCCCCACCTCCGTCTCCGTCCCCGTCCCCCCCAGGAGAAGTCCTAGGGTCATAATTTTTTTCACATTTAACCCCTTTCCCCCTTAAAACTCCATTGCCCTTCATTTTCAATCTCAACTTTTTCTTCAAGATGAAGCAACTTGAACAGGATATACACTCCAGGTGAGGTCTTCACTCCACAGGGCTGCCAGCTGCCCCACCCCGCCCCCCAGAAAGAGCAAGTAGGTGCTTTCACAGCTGTTTGTGATTAAAACTTCCAGCATCTGGTGCCCACCTGGATCCATTAAATGGCAAGTCATATAAGGCCAGAGGACCACAAACCTCCTCCTTACACAAATAAAAGTAAAGTCATGGAAGCAATACATAAAATGGGGAGTAGGGGAGTCATGCTGAGACGTGTGGATACATAACATCCAAATCCAACACAGCCTACTTGAGCCAAGGCTCACATACTTTGTCACAATGTGGACCACAACCCCCTCTCATGGCACCAAGCCTTGCCTATCTTTATGTTTGAATCCTATAGAACATTACTACTCTAACTTCAGCAAATGCCTATGCAGAACATTAAGAATAGAAGCCTTTCAACACAATTTAGCAAGTGAAAATAAGACACCAGCATCAGTTAGACAAAATATTCATAGGGATCACAGTCACAATTTAATATTTCCACTCAAGCAAGATCACACACTATCCAGTACTTAATGATA